TTTTCGTCTGAGATTCTGAGGTTGTATAGAGAATCGAAAGACCTTTCAATCGAGGTATCTTTCGACCCCCCACTCCATTTAAAAAAATCTTCCAAAATACATATTTTTCTTTGGAACAATATGTAGCACTGAAACTACCATTGAAGCAAAAAAAAATTGAAAAAAAATCTCATCCGTTCAATAGTTAACCAGGGGGGGGGGTGACTTTATGGACACAGTGTATATACTGTTCTCATGGTTCCTCATGCATGAGACAATAAGAAGTAAAACACAGATTTTTTTGACAAAAAGACATTGCAAGTCGGTCATTCTGATTATTTTCATTGTCGGAAATATGATCTGCAGCAATCAATTTGGATGCAATGACGAATTGAACACTGTGAAGAGGCTCTTAGAAAAGTTAGTTTTCCGCCTGTTCCTTCGGATTTTTCATTTTAAATTAGTTCAAATTGAAGGTAATAATGCGATTTGTTTCCCATTGGAGAAAGTTTGAATTAATTCATGACCTAAAAAAAAGTCATTTGAAATAATTCACGAATTAAATCACTGACTTAACTCTTATGAATTAATTCGTGCCTACCCTACTTCTGAGGGAGTTGTTTTTTCTAATTTTGTAAAATAAACTGCTCAACATTCGAAACGAATAGAATCGAAATTTTGATTCATCACAACTTCCGGCGTCCTCAACCGGTTTTCATTTTTTTCAGTTTCTGAATGTTTGTCTCGGTTTTTTGTCTACCTCCCCGCTTCGCCTCGGAAGGCAATACAACCTCGAATTAAAATCTAGTATCTTTTTTTTACTTGTACAATAAATAACTGAAATTTATACATGGAAAGGTCAATATAAAACGGGTATAGAATATTGTGAATTCAAATTATTCTTACCTTGACTATAAATAGGGAATTCTCCATCGCTCTGACTGTGAGTTAACATCACATAGACATTCAGACGAAAAAAAAACAGAACACAAAATTATAAAATAATCCAAAATGCGATATCGGATTTCATTGGCAAAAGACGAATGTATAGTCCCGAAAAATCGTCGGAATACTGGTTAATTCGGAATCATAAAAAAATGAATCTCTACTAGAATAAAAAAATGAATAAAAAAAAACACTTTTCAATCGAACCAAAACGTTTCATGACCCCTGAGAAATATAGGTCAATCACGTCACCGGGTGCCGACCGTTTTTTCCTTCGCCGAAACGAAACAAAAGGGTATCGCGACGCCTGACGTCGCGACGCTCGCACTAACGACGGCGCCGCCGACGTCCTTGCCGAAAAGACGCTGCGCTATCCGGGACGCGCCCCCCACGTCAGAATCGAGGCGACGTTTCGAGGTGCCGAGGCGGACCGTCATCAGGCGCTTCGCAGCGAAACCTGGCTCTTGGCTTATGAATTGGAGGGTACACAAAAAAAGAATTCATCTAACCAACAAAATCTGCTTTACTTCAAGCATATTGTTTGTTTATAATATATATACTCAAATAAATATTTTCTTATTACGAGAAATTTATATTTGCAGAAAAATACTTGCAAAATGAAACGATATTTTTTTGAGTTAAGGAGATTATGGTAGCTTTATATAAATAAGTTAAATAGTTCATGCAATGAAATGAAAATGTTCAACTTGAATGTATCAAATATCATATGATTACTTGGAAAAAAACAATGTATTCAAGCCAAGTATATGAAATTGCTCTTTCTATACTTTGACAAAATCGGTTTCTTGCTCCAATAATACAGTTATTTCTGACTAAGGCTAAGACATAAAGCTACTTGGTGTTGGTGAGACAAATATATTGGTTTGAACCGAAAATGTCGATATATTTGAATGAAAAATATAATTGGTTCAATTGAATGACATATCCTACCTGAGACCTTATAGCTGTCCAAACGATCGCTGTCGGTGGGATGGAAGATGAAGACAATGTTGAATAATGTAAATTGAATCAGAACATAAAAAAAAATTGATACAAGAATCAATATTTTTTTCACAAGAGAACCCAAAAACTTCTTGAATGAAGCAATGAATTCGAAGAAATGAAAATATTGATTTGAGAAGAGCAAAATGCTCTTTTCAAGAATATTTATTCAGAAATACCATAAATACAAAATACATTCTCATTCAGAGTAATTCTTTCTGAGAAATCTTTTTTATGTGTATTCCTTAATGACATGATAATTATTCGAGGGAGCAATTCTTGGACCCACTTCAAGAAAATAACTTCATATGAACGTAATTATGTCGTCAACGTCCTAAATTCTGAGATACAGGATGGCCAAGTTTTCGGAAAAAAGTATTTTGAAGTGAAAATTTCTTTAGGCGCGTCGTTAAGCACTTTTTTTAGGCGAGAAAAAACATTGGATTTCGCGTCATCGTCATCTCACGTCACCTAACTCTGTTTGTAATTATTATCCAAAATTGGTATCTGGGAGTTTTCCGGGTCGGAGATTATAATTGCTTCGTAAAAATTTGGAAATTCAAGATGGCCGATCCATTATAACGAAGGAGTTTTGTAACTATGATCCTATTCTATTCAAAATTGGTAACTGGGGGGTTTCGGGGTCGTGGATTATGATTCTATCGTCAGAATTAGGAAATTCAAGATGGCGGATCCAATATGGGGGAAGAGTTATGTAATTATTTTTCGATTCTATTCAAAATTGGTATCTGGGGGTTCTCGGGGCCGGAGATTATGATTCTTTCGTCATAATTAGCAAATTCAAAATGGCGGAACCAATATAGCGGACGAGTTCTGTAAATATTATCAGATTATATTCAAAATTGGTATCTGGTGTTTTTCGGGGTCGGAGATTATGATTCTTTCGGTCGAAATTAGAGAATTCAAGATGGCAGATTCAATATGGCGCACGACTTTTGTAATTAGGTTCTGATTCAATTCAAAATTGGTTCATGGGGGTTTTCGGGGTCGAAGATTAAAATTCTTTCGTCAAAATTAGGAAATTCAGGATGATGGAACCAATTTGGAGAACGATTTTTGTAATTATGATTCGATTATATCCAAAAATTGGTATCTGAAGGTGTTCGAGTTTGGAGATTATGATTCTTTCGTAAAAATTTGGAATTTCGAGATGGCGGAACCAATATGGTGAACGAGTTTTGTAATGAGGATCCGATTCTATTCAAAACTGATATCTGGGGGTTTCCGAGGTCGAAGATTATGATTATTCCATCAGAATTTGGATATCCAATATGGCGGAACCAATATGGCGGACGAGTTTTGTAATTATGATCCGGTTCTATTTATAATTGGTAACTGGGAGTTTTCGGGTCAGAGATTAAGATTCTTTCGTACGGACATTATGATTCCTTCGTCAAAATGAGGAAATTCATGATGACCGATTCAATATGGCGGACGTGTTTTGTAATCATGATCCGATTCTATTCAAAATTGGTATCTAGGGGTTTTGGGTCGGAGATTATGATTATTTTGTCAAAAAATATATACATAGTTCACAAAGTACAAACACGTGTTTTCGAGCGTGATTTTATACAGACTGTTATATTTTTCTTCCTACTTGCAGTGTAAATGTAAATGTAAATTTTCGAATGAATAATAAGGAACAAATTTATTTCAGTCATATTATTTAACTGCAAAATTATGAGGTAAAAATATACTTCTTTAAAATACAAAAATATTTGAAAAAAAAATCTAATACCTCCACAAAACACTTTTTTTTTATAACGACTGGGATATTTATGTAGATATCTTTATGGAATTTCATCAAGATGCAGTTTTAAATGTACGAACAATTTTATTATTTTCACCAATGGCACCCGTACGGTTTTGCATTGAATATATTTGTTATAAATGTTACGCCACTGCTTCCTCTCGAAATAAAAATTGCTTCTGAAAATCTCATTCATTTTTGACGTTCTAATTAACTGATTATATTCCGTCCGACTGAATTTGAATCTCATTCACAACATGGCAAATATTGTGAGACACCAATTTTATTTTTCAATTGCAACTCTAACTTTAGCCAATGTCAACTTTTATCCAAATACTCCCATTTGAAATTAAAAAGGTTTAGTACCTACACATCTGCCAAACAGAAAGTGATATTTTGTTCTAACGATTGCTAGATTGTCAAATCAATGTACCAAGTACTGAATTAACGAAATTACAGGGAGGTCAACGATTTTCGGGTCACCAGGCGAACAAAAACGTAAAAACCTAAGACGGTTAAAAACGGTCCACATTGATTTTGCAATTACGACCAGTTAGGTAAATTCCTCCATGATTCCATTTCAGCCACCCCCTCCCCCACTACCTCACCACCCTTTCCTCTTTCCAGCATCCTGCTCTGATGACCCATCCCCACGAGAAAAATCGATCAGAAACACGAAATTGTAAGTGGGAGATGAGCAACAGGCAGCGCCATCTAGCAGAGCGGATAGTAACCAAATATCAAGATAGACTAGACAGTAGACATGTAGACAACTCTACACAGTATAGACCTCAGATCAACAAAAGACGTATAGACCATTAGTAGACAAGGTATTAGGTAAGTTAAGTTGCAGTATTCCAGAATTAGCTGAAAAAAATAATTGTAAACTTTTCCAATCAGGTTCAAAATAATTACACTCTTATTATGCCAATGATTTTCTAATTACTTACTGTGCAGTGAATTCATTTTCTTATGAAAACAAATCCAATTATTTACTAAGGAAATATCAAACATCAGAAAAAGTAAGGTTATCTGAGTGAAATTGTTAATTTTTTCACAAACCAAATTGATGTTACTAGCATACATTGTGTTACCTAACTTTTTTTAGCCTTATGCCAAAACCAAATCTGGAATGCAAATAAAAAATAAAAGAATTTTGGGATTCACCCACTCTCAACTTCTTTTTGAGAGAGGATAAAATAAAAGGAATTGAAATATCCCCTCTATATTGTTATTTGTCATTCAAAGTTTGATCCTTATCAGGATCCCTATCCTGAGATAACCACCCCCTCTTTCAAATTAGTTAAATGAATGAAAGGCACTTACTTGAATCACCATTGGTATTGTTCAAATTGAGATCCAAAATTGGTCCAGTGGTGCCGGTTCTGGTAGCCTGTGGAGGGCTAACAGGTAGGGTATCCAGAGGCAGTTCACTATCTGAAAGTACCAAAAAAATAGAACTCATCAAACTGAGGGGCTTTTTGAATTTTTCATCTTCAAAATAAATGATTTTGTTGCTTTTAAAATTGGTGTAATTGTTGATAATCTTTCAGAATACCACTCGTTGAATCTATGTACCTAATAAGCCACTTGATCTTCAATATGTTCTTTTGGAAAATGTACTAGGTAGTAGGAAGAATGAATAAAAGCAATTGAATCAATGTAACACACTATTTATTAAAGATATTGTGTATAATTGGTTGGTATTTATTTATGCAGTCAATACAACAAACGCAATAATATTAAAATTATTATTCAATGAGGTCAAGTTTCAGGAAACATAAATAAATTCATTCAACAAAAGATCACTGAAGTTTCATTAGACTTTAGTCCCTCATTCCCAGTCAACAATGTTTCAAGGATCCCACATGGGATCCTGAAATACTTATATTGAAATTATCAAAATATATTTTTTGAACATGATTCACAGATAATTAATAATTTATAAAAGTAGGCGGAACAAAATAAACAGTAGGTAAGATCCTAGAACCAGTACCAGAAATATGATTCTCTCTTCTTTTTTTCAATGATTTATACATTTCAATCAACTGGTTATAGGAATATACATTTGGTCCAGGGTTGAATTTTGCATTCAAATCTTTCTCTATCCTGTGGAGCCACAAAGAGGGAGTTTTCAAAAATGTATTGAAATACTTGTTAGTCATTCCTAAATGAACAAAATCTTCAACTGACAAGTATTTCAGTATAAATGGTATCAATTCCTCTGGTAAGGCTTGAAAACAACCATGGAAAATGTCATAATGAGTTAGAATAGACTGTTTAGCAGGATGGCATATAGTGTCTTTTATAGTATTTGAAAGCTCCCTGAGGTTTTGTAATGAAAGACTCTTGAGTGTGTTAGTAGCACTGGAAAAATACAATAAAGGATCCAAGCAAACACTGAAATGTCTGTTTTCAGTGCCATGAACAACACAATTAACCAAGATATCGTCTGCTGCTTCACAGCAAGCCAAAACACACTCATGTACATCAAAACCAGGCAGGATGAAGTGCAGCTTGTAGAGCCCCCCTTTTCTCCAATCTTTAGGTAATTTTTTGGAATATTCCAACACTTGGGGAAGGTTGAAGCTAAAGGTGCTTCCACTATGTTCCTTTAACTCTATAGGCACAAATCCACATTCGAGCATCAAGATGTAAATGAGCCCCACTAATATATCCTTGAGTGAGGCATTGGGGTCAATTGCTTGGAGATGAGACAGTATATTCAGCACTGTTTGAGGCAATGATTTCTCATTGGAATCGTCCAGAAATATGGGAACCATAGCTGAAAGAAAATTCTTGATTGATGACACTGCTCGCTTCTGCACTGATTTTGTTATCTGATAAATTTGAACCCTTCCAACAGCGCGAGCGCACCTCCGATTGGGTAAACAGCCTGTTGATTCCTTTGACTAGTAATCAAATCGAATGTTTATTTCCATATTAGCACTAACAAGGAAGTAAATGGCTTGTCTTGAAGGGTGATATGATTCACCTACAGTTTGATTTGCACTACTGGCAGTGTATAATATTGACAAAGATAGTGAGTCATAAAAGGGAACCCTAACCTAAAAGTACTAGACAGTAATATAACTTTTATTGTTCATTTATAGGGTTTTTATGAGCAATACAGTTACTGCTTGATACCTGAAGGATTTATCCCTATATTAGGGTCAGAACTGAACACAATGAGCAGTTTATGAGCGAATTTTCTTGTATTGTATCAAACAAAAATACCATCTGTCAGGGTAAAAAAACAACGCACGCTAGCAATACACCATTTCGAATTTTGATAAACTAACCTTTTTGCGAGTTGGTTTCCTCTGATAAATCCGTATTTTGTCCAACACTTGACTGTTTTTGAGTATTTACACTATTCAACACTACAACATTACCACTACTTTCAGCCATCTTTTATTGTAATTTCTGTAATTCCGCTCTTGTTCTCCATTTGGCAACTGTCCACTAACAAATTTTCAAATCTAGTTGTCGTTCTCCCTGAAGAGGTCACCACCTTCACTGTAAGGATAACTTGACTACATTTACACGGCAAAATTAAACTGTTTAACTAATTGATAACAATCTGCAATAGTGAACAGTAGATTGGCAAAATTGGTTCATTTAGAATAAGTACAGTCGTATTCAATAAAAAAGCGTACAAGTATTAAAAAGAGAGGATTTCGGGATCCTTGTTCTAGTTGTGTAAAACTAGCTCAGCCAATGCTTTGATTGCTTTGTGTTTTCGAGAACATATGACAACTTTACTGTCAACATTTGGTGAACAGTCATTCCCGAAATAGCGGATACACAGAAACCATCTGCGAATCGTCCCGAATGCGCGCGCATATATCAATCTGCAGGTCCCAGGTTCGATTCGCTATACGTCCATGCTATGATGAACTTAATCTATTTTTAACAACTTTTTTTCACCAATGTATCTTTACTTCATTCTGGTTTAGCTTCCTCAAAAAATATCGAATGTCGAATAGGTTAGTGCGTTTAGGATAAACAGTCTCATTTTATTCAATTTTGTTGAAAAACTTGACTTATCATTGATCAATGTGTATTTACTTCATTCTGGTTTTCCTTCCTCAAAAAATATTGCAATTAGGAATAGGTTAGTTTGTTAAGGATAAATAGACTCAATCCATTTAATTTTGTTGAATACTATATTTTCATATGACTGAAATTTTCCACTTCCTTCAGCCTATTTTCTTTTCTCGAAAAGATTCGGATTCAATCACGATTCATTTTGAATGCACCGCCATAGCTATAGAATCGTTCTGATTGGTTCATACACTCGGGACGATTTGCAGATAGTTTCTGTGTATCCGCTAGTATTCCCGATAGCCAGTTTTATGCAGAATAGTATGAAGTTAATTTCTCTCTGTAATATACTTGTACGCTTTTGTTTCGAATGCGACTGTACCTAGAACAAGTAGCCCCATTAAAAAAAATTGATTAGCAAAATTTAGCAACTAACAGAATTGAAAGATCAATATAAGAAATAACCTCTTGTGTAAATGTAGTCACTGAATATGCAAGTCAAGTTGTTGAACAAAAAAGGGATAGTCTGTAATGAATGTGCCTTTCACTGTTTATTTTTTGTAAAAGTTATGTAAATTTTAATATAGCATTGCATTTGCTTCAAACAATTCAAGGGTACAGGGAAATAAAATAAATGTATGGAATTAATAAAACAATTATAAATATTGATTTATTCAAGCAGACATTAATTATGTGAATTATACATTTATCTCAGGAGAAATAACGCCCGCCCAGCTAGAAATTCCTGAAAAAGAAAAAATATAAATAAATATCAAGCCCCTTCAACACAATGTGGATCTTGCACAATATTAGTTACAAGAATCAGGATTGCATATTGGAATCAAAATAATGGGTAAAAGGTAGGAGCTTCAGAAGAGCATATTATTGCATATTATTGTTATAAGAATGAAATAAATCCAATCTCTGATTTGAAATGTTCAGTTCTGAAAGTTCAAAATGCTTTTGGTAAAGTAAAATATAGTTTGAGAAGGTTCAGACATCCTATCTTCCAAGTCCAGTTGTTGACAAATTTTGAAGTAACCTCTGAAGAAACTGGATTTTATACTGTAGAAGACACTTTGTGAAAATACTAGGCATTGTTAATTAGTGATACTTTAAAATATTGTCAAATGGTACATACTTAGCAAGGACTCCATCCTTTTTTGTTAACCTAACAATGCAATCATCAGATTCTCCCATTCTTCTGATAGCTCCACAGAGGGCATAACTTCTAGATTGGTCAGTCATGATTCCAGTTTGGGGGTCAACATCAGCAATGCTCAACTGGATAGAGGCATGGTCTTTGGCATGTATAATTCTGTTACTAGCAGAGCTGCAAAACAATGACACTTCAAGAAACCTGACCACAAAATGTCATAAACCCAATAATAAACCCTTTTATTTCGAAAGGATCATGTATATAGCATTAGACTGTGAAATTATATTCATGAATACACAAAAACACGTGTAGGAATAAAAAAAATTAACCTCACCATTTCCTGGGACAGTAAAGGTCAACGGTTTCTCCTGCATCATTTTCCATGGTTGTATATCTGAAAAAATGAAATTTAGGCAGCAATTTCCAGCAAGTTTTTTTATTTATCACCCAGTTTTGATCAAATTTACTCACCTTTATTTTCAACAATGATCGAAGAAAATGGAGGACAGACTGAAAAGGACAAATGAAATTCGTTTCTCAGTGTTGTCAGATTTCATAAACTTGCTTACTGAATGCATGACAGCATGAACAGACAGGAGGAAAATAATAATCATTGCGGTGGGGGAACGCTACAGCACGGTATGTCAATATTTGTCCATAGAAATCATACTATATATACTAACAGTACTAACACAGTCGTATAATTATTGAGATGTTTATAAATTGACGGGCATCTTACGTCTAATCCTTGGGTACTGATCATCCCACACCCCAACGCTGCTGTCCTAAGCAAAACCCCCGTAACCAACAAATTCACGGAAATTGAGATTTTTTGCGTTTTGGTTGCTTGGCAACTAATACTTGATTCTTGCTAAGCGAAAACCCGGTATTTATATTGCAAATCAGTGACTTTTCACATTTCACTTAGCCGTACCTAGGGTCCCTTGATGGAAATTGACGTTAAAGTCATCTTAGCAGGGTACGGACAGATCCTCGTCTCCTCTCACTCTAAAAACACTAGATTTTTGACATTTGTTGTTTTTCAGGTTATATTGAGGTCATTGGCGTATCGTACGTAATTTCCATATGGAATTCCTGATTCAACTATACCAAGATATAGTTAAACAAATCTTTTAGTTTTAGAGTTTACTACTACAGCATAATTTTTGCCAGGTAGGGAAAATATAATTTGTACTAAAAGCTTAATATATTTCACCAAACGAGACTGTTCTTAGACTGTATATACCAGGGTTGACCACTGGGTTGACTGAATTGACTGAATGAATTCTGATTTCAAGCTGAGCAGTAGTTTAACTATGAGCTGAATGCGAACATGACTTGAAATTGTCAAAAATGATTCTACTTCCAACTTCCAAGAATCATCATCCAAGGGTTTAAACTTGAAACAGGTCTTCCTCACATTTATTTTTGTAATTCTGATATGTACATCGTAAATGTTCATGCGGCAACCTTGCTGCACTACAGCGCCATGCGCCATCAATATGCTGTAGAAATCTGTATATTTGCTTATTTGCTTTTACGCCACCTATGAGAGTATAGAACGAACTGCCATAAACTGCTCACACTGAAATGTGGGAACCTGTTAGATTGATTCCATAGTGGTCTTGATATTTTGGCGCAAGCGTAAAGAAAGCGCGAGATTCGAAACCTACATTCTCCTGCCGATTTTTTTGTAATAAAAGCGAACGCAAGCGCAAATACGATCCAAAATACGCACAGGCTTCACGCTTTTCACATTCACAACGAAAATACAGTGTGAACGCGAGACCACAACAATGACAACGCTTTCTACTGAAAAGTAGAAAAACAACATTTTACTCTCGTTATTTTGCCTGGAACGAGCGTTGCGTAAGAAACAACGGGGAAACTCAGCAGCGGAACGTCTAGATTCACAAATACAGGTTTCAGTCGTGCTCCAAAAGACCTAACGATCTGGTGGCATGCTTTGAGTGATCTGGGTCAGATATCAATTTTTGGAAATGTCTCTGAAGGTGAGTACCAGCGAAAATCTGTAAATTTATTGAGATGTTATCATACTGTTGTTCAATCCGGAAAATGTGTCTTTGATTGTTTCTAATTATAATTGTTTTGCTGTTCCCTTTTTTAGGTATCTATATCATATATACCTACTACAATTTATATTTTCAATTTTCCTCAATATTTTTTTGTTAAAATATACATGATAATTTTTCATTCAGAGCAAAAGAGTTTTTTTTCAATAAAATTTTAGATTTTCAGTTTGCAAAATTACAATAACACGCGTAATTATAATGTCGATCGTTATAATTATATTTCAGAAAAAGAAAATATGAATTTTCAGGGAGCTTAAATTTTTCACGGGTATCACTTATTTGTAAAGTATATACCGGGTGACACAAGAGACATGTAGCAGGCTGTAATTTTTTTATTTGAAAAGATAAAATTTTGAAATTCACAGGGGGTATATAATAAATGGTAGCGCACTTTACGAACTCAACGACAATTTTTTTCAATCACCTGTTTGACTGGAAGTTACCCCAACTTTTTTTTTTTTAATATCACCCTGTACATTTCTTCAGTCTATCTTTTTCGCCTCGAAATTCTCTATCCAACCATGTGTCACAAAGTGGCATTTATTTCTTAATTCGCTGTTGAATTGCGCTCTTCATTCAAAAAGAATAAGTTGGCTGTGACATGAATTCGATGATATATCGACACTTGGTAGGCTTTGAAATTTAAATATCATTAGTAAACCGATATTATTCAAAATGTTTTGCTATTCTGATCAATGTCTGCAGGTTGTCAATAGCTTGTTCGAGTCAAGATGAAAACCTTCGAAAATAACCTCGAAAATAACTCATGATATTGAGGAATCTAAGATAGGAACATATTTTTTCGAATTCAGCTACTCGTACAGAAACTAGCTTTTATTTTCGCCATGTACCTATATCACATGATCTTTCCATTTGGAATAATAAAACTAAAATTGTTCCTCTTATAGGTACGACGATCCACAGGGCTATCAGTCTATTTTTTCATAATTATTTCACTTAGTAGGCGGTGTACCTACACAAAATGTTTCATGTGTTTGACAGTTAATCGATTGCATCAATAATTTTTCTTCTTCATTTGTGTGTTGATTAAAATTGCATATTAACAACATATCGACTTTTTCGTTTCTTGAATACATTTTCCGTCTATATTGATAATATGCAATTTTAATCCCGGTCCAGAAATTGCCTCTGCTGGGTATATCTAAAGGGGGACCCGAAATGATGGTTTTATGTGAATATTTTTTAAACCATATGTAATAAAATAACCAAATCTTGTACATTTATTACTGAACTTTTTTCCGTTTTCAGAATACTGCTGCGCGTAATAAAAATAGTGCGAATTTTCACAAAAATTATAGTTCGATAGAAAATACCGTACTACATCTACTATTGATGTTTGATTTAAAATGTGGAAGATGCCCTAAAAAATTAAATTGAAAAATAATGACGTACTAATTTTATTACGTTTCAAACTTTTAAAATTGATAGAAACTGAACAAGAGTACCATTTTTAAGTAAAAATTAAAGTGCCCCTAGCCCTACCTCTCTTCCCAGCCCCTGATCAAAATTTCGGAAAATTCTCAAATCGGGCATGAAAAGTTAGGTATGTACATATGAACCAAATTTGTTGACTTTATCATGCATCACGACAGAGAGATTCGAAAATATTCAGAAAAATACATCATCTGGGTCCTTCGGATGGCTTTATTCCCCCAGGTGGCCATTTCTGAAAGCATGTTTATGTGAATTTTGTTTACTATTTTTGTTATTAGAATCTCTGGTTGGAATATCTTCCTATGTAATCTCGAACACCCTGTATATAGGTGTATGAGTATATCTTTCCTATAGTTTTCATAAAATTACCTGAATGAAATTTGAATCAAGAATCAATAGGTAGGTAAAAGTAACTTCATAGTCATAGCATTATGATATGTCAATATGCTTCATTAGTACCATAGATCTAAATACACACTTAGTACTTACTCACCCACCTCTTTTGTAGTACCTGCCTTACCTATTTTTTCTAGATGGTCAATTTTTATTTATCATTTTTTACCTTTCGACAAAATAGGAAACAAGACACATAGAAAAAGAAGTATTGATCAACGATGAAAAACATTGATCATTTTATCGAAATCCTTCAGAAGGCAATGACTGATTTAACTGAATGGATGCATGATTGTCACGAAAAAATACTTCCAACGTCACTGGTGTATCACTTGTATCAGATATATAGGTACTGAAAAATTGGTAGCCAGTGGCTACTCAACTCATCCTTTTTTTTTATAAATATTGTTCCGCACTCTACATCTCTTCATTTTTTCAAACTAATCTTTATTTTCTACTCACTTCTTATTAGTTTGGCTATCTATGAAAACGTGTTTCATTATTATTTCTAGAAAATATTTTTTTAGTTAAATATTTATCGACATACTTTTACTATTCTGTTTTCTACTTCTCTTCAGTTTGGCAATCCATAAAATCGTGTGAAATTTACAAATTTTGAATGGAATCGGATCTGACATCTTGAATTTCCACATTTTGATGAAAGAATCATTATCTCCGACTCCGAAAACTCCCAGTTACCAATTTTGATACAATCTGACCATAATTACAAAAGGCGTCCGCCATACTGGATCCGCCATCTTGAATTTCAAAATTTTGACGAATTATATAGTCTCCGACCCCGAATACCCCAGATACAGGTCCGGACTGAAGGTAGAAAACGGGTTGGACGTATTTTCCAAAGCAGGCCAATTTACCTGTCAAAAAGTGTGTGTTGCAGGCGTTTTCTCTTCTCAAATTTCGAGGTCGACTGCTCAATATGTTAGAGTATTCACCACCAAAAATATCGAGACTTCGTATAGTAGTTTTTTTTTGAAAATTTCACAATTTCAAAAGAAAAACGGATTCTTATAAAAGATAGATGAAACAGAATAAATTAACTTCTTTGATATCAAGAAAAATAAACAAAATATAATAAAACTGGTGAACATAAAAGAAGCGCGTTTACATCAGCTTTGTTCCATAGAGGGGGAGGGTGTAATTCGTGCCACGGGGCTGACAAAAAGCAGAAAAGCGCCGCAGTCGAAATTTTTTTTTGTTCAAGGACAAATGCCTTCAAATTGATTGTTAGGTTTGTCAGAGGGGTATCATAAAGGTGGCAAAAAATGATTTCAAATCCACCTGAAAATTTAAATTTCCTAATAGCAACATTATATCGAATTTCAATGACAAGTTTACTTCGACCTAAAAAAATGCTTGAGTGTTATTCGGTAAGACAATTTAATGAATACGTAAATATTATTGTTGATGGTTTTTCAATTTCTCCACCCGAAGACTCTCCAAATCGCGACATTTCCACAGATTAGATATAATTTTCTGACAAAGCAAATTTGGTAAAAAATGACATAAAAACCATCAACGGTTTGTTTTCAGTTTTGGTTGTCATGCATTCAAATTTTAAATTTCCGTTCTGTTGCTGGAAAAGTTAGGGTAAAATTTTTTCGCTGTCATAATGACAAAATCACAGAAGCTTACGGAATTTTATGTACATAAATTAAATTGTCACAATGAAAAAACCGTATAATGGCCTCGGCTGACGCCTACATTACGCCCTTGATACATAAATAACTATTTCAGAAGATATTAATATAAAAGTCTCTCTATTCAAAATTAATGTTGATTTAGAAAAGTACTTCTTTCATAGTTGCATGCTACTTGTAAATAGACACGTCAATGAATATCTTTATACTTTTTCTAGATCAGGGTAGAATAAACATGCGTCTGTATTAAAATTCATACCAAATATCGGGTATAAAATAAAACTCCAACAGGCAGGCCCAGGACAGCGGGCCAAAAATGAGCCAGGCCATCGGGCGATCGCCCGACGGACCAGTCCGGCCCTGCCCAGATACAAATTTTGAATAGAATCAGATCATAATTACAAAACTCGTCCTCCATAATAATATGTGTAGATGTGCAGCATTATTATTTTAGGTTCAAGAATTGAATAGTCAGTTGCCTGAGTCTGACCTACCTTTTCGCGTACACCCTGAATGTAGAGTAAGTTAAGTAAATCAAGATTCATATTATGTTTGATGATTATCAATGTGTTAATTCTAAAAATAAGTTTGCAGTCATGTCAACACAGTTATCGTCATCATCAAAGTACGAGAATGTAGGAGTATAGGAACTAGGAACTATACAGAGTTGTGAGAAATCAAATCATACTATACCGGGTGTCACAGGGTAACGGCCACCCCTGTAACTTCTACATTAGTAAACGGATTTTTCTGAAAATTGGTACAGTTATATAAAGGCAACCATTTCATATTTGAGCACATTTCAACCCCTTATGGAGGACATCCGGTTTTTCTGGAAATGCCAACAACTTTGGTTTTTCAAATGGGCCACCTACAGCAGGTCTATCTAGAAGTCTAGAACATACATTAAGAATAAAAATGACATATCATTTTCGTATTTCTGTGCAGTAGCAAATTGCATACCTACATCCAAAAACCACCAATATTTCATGAATTTCCTTGCATAATTTCAATTTTTTCGAAAAAATGACATTTGACGTAAATATTGTACTTGTTTTGACCTGTTGAACTTGAATATGTAAAAATATACCGGAAGTCTGCCATATTGGATTGTAATGTGATCAAATCGCAAATGGTTGCCCATATGACTGTACCAAATTTCAGGAAAATCCGCTTACGAATGCAGAAGTTACAGGGGTGGGCCGATATCCTGTGTCACCCGTATATACAGGGTGTATCTGAATTACACCGACAAATTCAAGGAGTGATTCCTTGTGATATTTTAGGAAATAATCGAGGGAATATAATGTTCATATAAACATGTGTCCTAACTTGCTTCGTTTTCGAGATACAGGGTATTAATATTTCCATGAAAAATCTTTTTTCTATTTATTTCTCAATTGTCTTTTCATCAATTTCAATAAAACGTTGTGGTTTTGATAATAGTAATATGGAGCTTCTGCTAGTACAATTAGATTCGAAATAATATTTCCAGTGGCGTCACAGTGGGTAAATTTATCGATATTCATGGTGAATGTCATTGTACAGCACCGGTTTTTCTGAGTTTCAACCATACTGAATTTTGGCACCATGAAAGCTTATACAGGGGAATTATAAATAGAAACAATGAATACTTCCAACTTCAACATCCTGTGTCTCAGAAACGGAGCAACTTATACAGGGTGTCCGGAAATTATGCGCAAAAAATCAAGGGGGTGATTCTGCATGAGAAAACATGAGATTCATTTTATATATACTCGGGTCCGGAAATGCATAGTTTTCAAGATACAGTGTGTTGAACTTTTTCGAAAAAATCGGTTATGTATGAATATCTCAAATATCCTTCCACCGATTCTCTTGAAATTTGGCAATGATATTCTTTGTCATGATGGGCTGATTTAGCCATAATCAAATTGGAATTGTGAAATCCAGTGGCGTCCCGGGGACACCCTACCGAATATTATTGTCAATAAAATGTGCGCCACTGATTTTTTCAAATTCTATATCTTCATATCCTGATGATCAACTCAAAATATAACATTTTGGTCTCTTGAATTGTTTCGCTATTTTGCTGCGTTTCCGTGGAAAAAAATAAATACCAATTAATTGTATAAATTTGTGCAAAACATTGCTTCAAAAACAGGGGTGAAATTTAATGTGTGATCCATGTCCATAGAAGTAGAATAAGAATGAAGATTAATTTTCTTCAAATATTTCATAATACATGTTTGACACACTTTGTATTTTCGAAAACTGCGTCTTCCTGGAGCGAGAATACATAGTTCTCTATATACAGAGTGTAGAGTGTGTCAAACATGTATCAAAAAATATTTGAAGAAAATGTATCTTCATACTTCTATAATTATGTCTATGGACATTGATCACGCATTTATTTTTACCCCAGTTTTTGAAGGAATTTTTTGGCACAAATTTATGCAATGAATTGGTTTTTATTTTTTTTCCATGGAAATGAAGCAAATTATCAACACAATTCAGGAGACCAAAATGTTGTATTTTCTGTTGGTCAATAGGTTATGGAGATAAAGAATTCAAAAAAATCAGTGGCGCACATTTTATTGACAATAATATTCGGTAGGTTGCCCCCCGGGACGCCACTGGATTTCATATTCCGATTGAATTATGGCTATATCAGCCCCTCATGACAAAAAATATCATTGCCAAATTTCGAGGAAATTGGTGAAAGGACATTTGAGATATTCATTAAAAACCGATCTTCTTTAAAAGTACACACTGTACATTGAATACTATGCATTTCCGGACCCACGAACATATGAAATGAAGTTCTTATTTTATCATGTAGAATCACCCCCTTGATTTTTTGCGCATAATTTCCGGACACCCTGTATTTTCTAGAATGTCACAAGGAAACACCCTTTGAATTTTTTCAGGTGTTATTTAGATACACCCTGTATAAGTAAATTGAATTGATGCAATTTCATATCCTTGTGGTAATACCTGCTCAAACAATATGTCATCATAATTCATTTGAATCAAAAATTTCTATGCATAGGAAACACACTGGAAATATTCAGGATATTTTTGAAAAACAAAAGCTAATTACTATTCAGTTTGACAACTACTACCTACCAATGAAATTATTGCAAGTGTGTGTTCTGATTCTTGAATCACCGCCGTGAATATCATGAATCAATTCTATTATTACGGCCTTGCATATCAATATCTTGACTTGACTGAAATATGTCGTGATTTACAAATTACAAATTATATTTGGAATGTGAATATTGATATGTATTGACCTAGATGATATAGTGAATTATGTTTCCTTTTTCAATTCAAGACCAATAAATGGAATTCTAAATCAGGACAGAGGCGTCTACATCATCACTCTTATAATATACATTATTATTACATTTTCGATGTTTAGTGGAAAATTTGCACTAGTATTTTTAATATCGCTTATTTTCAAAATTTAGTATCTTGTCATTTGGAATGCCCCGAGAGTTGAAAGTAATTTTTCTCACAAAACAGATTTGAAATTCAATGCGTATCTCGTTGCTATATGTTTCGACCCCAAGGGAGGCATCATCAGGCTGAAAATAGCCCCAGGGGTCGAAACATGTAGCATCATCATTTGCATCAAATTTTATTTTTGGAATGATTTTTTCTACTGATATTCTCATAATATACAATAGGGATTTAACTTCCATTTTTTTTTCAGAAAGAGTCTCTATCAGACGTTCAACTTCATTTGGCAGCTTCGAATGGAAATTTACTATTGTTGAAAAAAATTTTGGATAGTGGGAAAGTCCATGTTGATTCGAGGGATAAGGTAAGGTACAAATTGAGGTACAAAAAATTCTTTATGGCAGAGAGTTTCTCGAAATTACTCGTTCTACGGAATTTTTTTCGTTCAATTTAGAAGCAACAAAATTCTCATTGAAATTTCAAGTTGACTCCGGCAAAAAAAGCTCGTGTGACAAAAATATGCTTGTCGGTTCGTCATATATTCAGAGACAATACGAAACGAATCACCCTGTATGTGCCAATTATAATAATTCCTGTACGTAAAAACCATCATTTATCCGTTTCAATGGCAATCCGCAATTTTCGCTTGATCGATTCAAGTTTTCTCTTACCTATTTATCTCCTTTCAAATCATTATCTTCATGGAGAAAAAAGGTATAATTCTCAGAAAATTATTGAGTTTAGTTGTCAAAAAGTTTTATACTTTCTATTGATTGGTGATTGCGAAGATTTCACAGTTGCAGAACGGATACAGATAAACATGTGGTCTATGTCAGCATCAGTGTCGTCTCAAGCGATTGACCAATGAGGCATGATGTAGTAATAAATAAATAGTTGTCAGGTATACTATTTTTCTGCGAATACAAAATAATGTTCATTGAAACTTTACTTTCAAGTGCTATAGGAGAACACTTTCGTTTTATATTGTAATTACAGGTCGGTATTTTCATATATATTCATTCCAATTTGCCGCCGTATCAGTTTTGACGCATTAGAAATATGTTGAGTTCTAAAGAATGACGCACTTATCTAAAAAAATGTATTCAGGAAAATAAATACGAGAGCTCAAAGTCATTTCCACACAATGTTCATAAAATGAACAATGGTATGGTATAATTCGGGAGAAAAACAACTACTGTCCTGGCTAATGCGACGCAGAACATCATCCCGAAAATCTATGCATCGACTCGTATGAACGAATACTGATACAAGTGATTCTATCCTGAATGCCTATTGATTTCGATTTAGCCAGACCACGCTAGGCACCTTCAGACCGGTTTCGAGCTCTTTGACTCTCATCAGTGCAGGGCACTCTCCAGCCAGCAGTCCTAAGATCGCTGACTGCCAATGTTTATATTTCTTTCGTCTGACTGGCACTGGGAGTTCGTTACCAATAATTTATAGAGCCATCTATCGACATAGATTTGAGAGTGATATGAAATACATATATCTCCAAATGCCGATATCGATATGTATCTTCAAAACAATATGTTACCGATATGCAGAACTTGGAAATACAATATTGTTTTTCTTTTCTATGACCGACATAAAAAAAGATATTGAATGGCCGATATAGATATTCAACTTTGAATGTAGATAAATATTGATGTTCCAAATATTGTTGAAACAATATTCAACCAATGTGCAGTCGAACTAGAATATACAATATAGCATAACCGCTTCAGAATCGACATGGGGAGAATGTTCAAATTGCAATATTGAGTATAATTGTTGGAAACAATATGTATACGATGTTGTTGTAGCTACCTACATTTGTGAAACAATATTATATAATATTTCTATATTTATTTTTCCCCATAGTGTTAACGAACATTCCAACCAATATTGCTTCAATATTGAAGCTGACAATCTACATCTATCTCAGGTTGAACCGATATCCCACCAATATTATCATTTCAATATTGTATTTTCACATTGGACCATAATTATTTTTTCATTTACAATATATCTATAACGGCCCAATATAAAATCTGGATTCAGCCAATTTGAAGTGCTACACCTGGTTCAATTACACCCTGTATAATATAACATATATCGCGTGCCCTAATAGGAACTCTAGACCAATGAATAATGGTTATTCACCGCTATCATTCAGTGATGTGAGAAATGGCTATCGTTTTGCTTGAGGAAGTACAACTGTCGTGGACAAATAATAATTTTTTAGTTTTCCTATGTTCAAATAAGTATTATGATGAAACAGTTGTTAAAAAATAAATTTTCACGTGATATATCAAAGACAATATTAGTCGTGGACAAAGTAAAGTATTCAACTCGCATATAATGAGCCATTATTCACTCAGGTGAATTATAGAATGAATGAATAATAGCCCTCATTATATGCTTGTTGAATACTATACTATTTTCCAATTCTTTTCCATGTGTTACGAACCTTTTATGACGGACACTCTGTGTACAAGATTTTTTTATTCCAGCCCTGCTTGACGGTGTATGGGCAGTAGTGCATTCACTTTATATTGTCTGTGAAATAATGAGTATTTGAAGTAAAATGCATTTACGCTTTGAAGCAGCGGATGTGCTATTACATAGTATCCGGCGTATTCTCATTGGAGAAGCACTGCTATATTTTATCTGAACTACAATATTACAAATTCAATGCTTAAGTATGTCAATCTCATGGTTTTTTCCTGATCTTGCGAATCCGAAAAGGGTATCGAAGGAAACGATAATAAATAATAAAGTGAATGAGACTATATAGCGCTGTTTTTTTTAGTGTTTCGGGAACATACAACCGAAGGGTTGACCACTGATAATTAGCCTGTCCCTCTGATTTCATGATTACATGGTGATTACATGGGATTTCAAGGGATTTCATGATGATTTCAGGGGATTTCATGATGATTTCATGGAGTTCATGTTGATTACATGATGATTTCGTGGGATTTCATATGATTTCATGGTGATTACATGATGATCACATGATGATTTCATAAGATTTCATGATTTCATGATGATTATATGATGATTACATTATATTCATGATAATCATAACAAAGTCAATCTTATTTCGATAAATCTGAAAATTATATTTGTTCCATATTTTGTCAATAAACCTATTGGGATTGATGGAGGGGGCTCGGAAGGGGGTGAATACGAACGAGAATGTTCATTGCAATTTTTTTTATATTATAACCATATTCAATATAATATGTATATACCGGGTGATTCTTCAAGGTGGTTCACTCCAGAATAAGCCTATAACTTTTTCATCATTGAAGGTAGATAAACAAAATTTGGGGGTTGTGAGTTATAGTTCAATTGACATTTTTCAACATATCTACTTGCTGTGCCTTACTTCCAGTTTGACCGGAAATGACTCTAACTTTCGATTTTCAAAATGGAACACACCATTTTATTCCAAAATCGGTTAGGGATTATCAACAGTAATTACACAAGTGGTGGTAATTTTTTGATAATTTTAACTAGATGCACGAATCTTTGTTGCTATAGAAATTTCACGAGTGGACGAAGTCCACGAGTGGGATTTCTCAATAGCAACAAAGACGAGTGCTAAATCTAGTTAAAATTATTTAAAAAAATAACCAACACGAATGTAATTCGGCGTGATTATTTTTTTTACTATTTCGCAAAATGCCCCAGAATATGTTTATTAAACAATTATTTATTGAACAATCATTTATCATACAATTATATATCAAACAATTATATATCAAACAATTATATATCAAACAATTATATATCAAATAATTATATATCAAACAATCAAGAATGTTTACAATTTACGTTTGTAATGGTGCAATTATTGTATGTTATTGTACAATTTCCTTGAGATGAAGAGGTCGAAACAGTGTTTCCTCTCAAGTTGTTTATCATGCTTGCGTGATGCTCTTTGTCAAGTTGAAGATAGGGTTTGATGGAGCTTGCAGATGAATGTCCAGTTATCTTCAACAACTGCTGCTCACTTACTCCACTTTTAGCGAGTTGTGTCACAGCAGAAGAACGATGTGAATGGTTTGTAACCTTGATTTTGCTAGGATCCAAGCCAATCTTTCGGGCCGCTTGTTTTGTCCATTTTGCTATTTCATTTTGTCCTACCGGAAGATTTTTGTACCACCCCTTAGACAAAGGTTGCTGCCAATTTGGATTAGGTGTTAAAAATAAACGATCAATTTGAATATTTGCACTTCTTTTCGACATTAACTTCCGAAAGAGACGTACTGGACATTTTTCAGTCTCATTTTCATTTGGCGTTAAAAATTTGCTATCAGATAACCTGTGCGATCCTCCTTGTGCTGTTTTAGAAATTATTGGATTATATTCTATCCTTCCAGTTTGATTTCCATAATGATCCATTTCTTCTCTAAAATACTGTACTAATGCTTTTGTCGCTTCTCCGCCTCTCCAAGCCAATTCGTAGCTAGCAGTATGATAAAACTTCCTTTGTAAGCCATTTGGAGTATTTTCGTCCCATGCTGCTATCATTTTTTCTATTTCTTCTTTCTTGAGAGCAACAGAAGATGCTTTTCTTTTTTCAGGAATATGTTGAAGTTCTCGACGTTTGCAATTCCGCGCATCTCGCGCGGTCTTAAATTCAATATCAGTGAACGGATCAATGTTTCTATTATACTCCCTGAAATATTTTTCCTGGATAAGTTTTGCGGTGACATTCCACAAAGTTTTGACAACAGATTCTTTGTAGTTTTCTCCATTTTTTTTTCGCATGTTATATGCCCAGTCCTCCATAATTGATGCGATTTGTTTCATCTCGGTTGTTGCAGTCAACTCATAATTACGTTCAAGGCAGAACTCCAAAAACTGTTTCCATATCGTATTCTTGCTTTTTGTGGTGTTGATTGGTGTTGCTTGTTCGACAGCTAAATGTATTGAATCAGCCGAGCTTTGACCAAATCTCGTGCTCATGTCGGTTTCTGTTAATGACTAATAATAATTGTAAAGTTTTTCCGAACCTATACCAACTCGTTTAAACGTTAGAGAAAATCACAAAATACGAAGTCTGACTGATACTTAACAATGGCGTCGGTTCTGAATTCGAAATGTTTACATTGAGACAAATAGCTGCGTTACCTTGACAACCAAGTCAAGTCAATGCTAATTCTCTAAAGGTGCCCCATAGACTGCGTTGTTGGTAGGCCGTTTTGTTCGTCGAACAAGTCTGTTCGAACAAAAAAGACACAAAACTAAAGTGTGTGGCCAGCGAAAACGAACATTTTACAGCCACACACTTCGGTTGTGCGCAATTTTTGTTCGAACAGACTTGTTAGTCGAACAAAACAGCCTATCAACATCGCAGTCTATGGGTCCCTTTTTGTATCCATTTGAAGGAAGATCCAAACGTGAATAAGTCATCGCGGTAATTTGATACTAACAAATTATCAGTATGATTCCGAATGATTGGCTAGAATCACGCATTGATATTGGTTGAAACAAGGAAAACGTCACATTTTGACATGTAAAAAAAATAATCATAACAAATCCAACTACATATATCGGTTTTGATAGTGTTATTTCAAAGGATTACGGAAATATTCGCATTCGAAGTATCCATATGGACAATTGGTGTGACGGCGCAATACCGAAACTTCTTTCTTTGTCACACTCATTGAGCAGACAGCAGAACATTCTCATATCATTTGTTATGTTTTCACAACACAGAAAATTTCATAAAATTTATTTACAACCAATTAGAAGGCTCTTTTCCATTTACGTTGTATAATTTTGTAGTTCCTATTACCTTAATAAGTGATTTTTTTTAGGTCAAAAAGGAAGCGCCCTATATCTATTGGCAAAAGTCCCTCGGTTTCATTTAAAACTATGTAGACATATATGTAATATCAGATATTATGGTTGATGAAATCGAATTAATGTTTCTAATGTTCCTGAAATGTTCTACTCTATTTTCTTACCGAATCTCCCACGCAGCAGAATTATTAATTCCCGATTTTTTTTTCTCGGCTCCATTCATATTTTTGTTGATAGAGAATGTCCCTCGTCTTGTAATAATTCTGCTGCTAGGGAAATAATATATGAATATTTCCTTATCTGTATAACTAATAGTCAATAGTTCAGTGTTTACCGTCATTATTTATATAAACCACCCTATATCGAAACATGATTAAATATTTGAAGCTGATCATCATTCTCAAAAATAACAATGATCCCAATAGGATTCATGTAGGTACCATAAAATTACTTTCTGAAATCATCAACAAACATCTGATGAGATTCAATCCCACCATAAATATTTATTCCATTCATATACACTGTGTCCAAGATAATATGTCTATCATGGAGATCGTTTATATTTTTTCTGCCGTTATTTAAAGAGATATAGGAATGAAAGACTCTTTCTCGTTGTCACTTTTTGAGCTCTACAAAACAGCGCTTCATATCGGAGCAACCACCATCAACTTCACCCCATGATAGACATCCTTACCTTGTACACACTGTATTTCAGAAAAATCGTCTAGCTAGAACATGTTTTTTTTTTTATTTTTTAGGAAGGTACGACCCCCCTCATTCTAGCGGCTGCCAATGGTCACTATGATTGCGTCGTAGAACTAATAGAACAGGGTGCTGATCCTACAACGAAAAGAATAGTAGGTTTAGGTTTTTATTTTCAAGAATTTCATCAATTTTCGAATTGAATAATTTTCTCATAATGAAAAAACTTGTATGTACTAGCGGGAATGAAGAAGCACATACTGTAAAGTGGCACTTTAGTGCTCGCTGGTTCCCTTATTGCCCAAGGGCCGTGAGGTACCTACCTACTTTACCCACTCAGGTTCTCTGATTTTCACACAACAAAAAATGATTAATTCGATTCATCGAATATAGTAGTGTACATAACAAGTGCGGAAAGTGATAATTTTCCGCACATGACTGCAGATGGCCAAACGATGACGCGTTAGCGGAGTTTGGCCAGCAATCGCGTGCGGGAAAATCATTTTACGCACGTGTTAGATGAACTACTATTTCCTAAGCATTCATTCCGTATCTTCATTTTTCTCAACATAACAAGGTGTATTGAAAAGGAATATCTCAGTGTGTTGTACTCGTTGAGATAATAAAAAAAGTTAATATAAACATATACTTTTGAATGCATCGTTTTTGAGATATAGGGTGTTGAAAATACGAGTCTGAATATTGTTTTTTGATGAAAAGTTCGAAACGGTTTGAGATAAATCAACAAAATTTCTCACACTTCTACTGGGTGAACCAGAGGCCAAAATAGGCCCATTGGAATCAACTTACATGAACAATTTTATTTTCAGATTTTCCTCAATATCTCGAAATCCTCCCTGAAATTCGTAGGCCAATTTATAATAGTGAATGTGCATGAAAAACAAATTCAATCAATATACAGGAAGTTAGGTATTTCGCATTCTCTTTGATAAAATATAATGTAACTTTTTTGGAGTAAGGCACTGGCCACATTTTGGCATTTCAAAAAATTTAACACTTCTACTTCTTCTTCTTTTCTGTTGTCTTATGACAACAATATTCAATTATTCATGTTCACCAATTCGCCAAATCTTCATCATATGATTTGGGAGCTGGTCATTTTCAAATTTCAGCTCAGGATTTCTGGTAAAAAACTTTATTCGAGAAAAAATAAATAAATATGAAGATGACCAACAAAATTATCATTATGCTAGGTAAATTAGTTCATAAACATGATTATTGCGGTCAATAACTCAACACAAATAAGGTAAAAAGTGTCAAAACATGCATGATAATCGTCATAATCATAATCAAGTATGGAGGAGCACCAGAATGAATTTTGTTAGATATCTCGAACACCAAGAGAAATTATAAAAACATTGTGGTCAGGAAAATAGGAGATGATTGATTTTGTCATCCATCGAAATATCAAGATATGGTCAGTTCCATACTCCAAAAAAAGTTACATTAATTTTTTTCAAAGAGAATGTCGAATACCTAACTCCCTGTATATTGATTGAATTAATACGACATGTTTTCCATGCACAATCACTATAGTAAATTGCTCTACGAATTTCAGAGCAGTACCTTCTGAGGATTTCGTAATATTGAAGAAAATCTGGTAATAAAATTGTTCTGCATCGCCCTCTCACGGTTCAACGATGCATTTTCCTATAGAGGTAAGTTGATTTCATTTCAATCGGTCTATTTTGGTCACTAGTTCACCCTGTAGAATTTATGGTACCTTGTATATCTGAGTCATAATTCTATACAGGGTCCTGCATCTCACCTCCCGTCTTCTATAGCTCAGTTATCAGTTGAGTCAAGATTGTAATTTTTTGCAGACTTCAATTGTATCATAGGGCGCATACCAGAAAAATAATTTCGATTATACAGGGTGTGCCAAAAAAGTGTTACGTCATAATGATATATTTTTTTAAACGGCATGCCATATATTTTGTTGCACATTTGAGTACTTCTAGTGGTTACTTACATACTCCTGGAATTTAATTGAAATCGGTTCAGTGATGTTCACGTAAAAAAATAAAACAAAAAAATTCAATTTTGCACTATACGGTTAAAAAACATTAATAACAAAAAAGGGACTGCCAGCTCAATAGAATCATAAAAGATACATGTCAAATAAGACCTAAGAGGATCGCTAACCGAGTTCAATTGACACGAAGCATGTGCAAAATTTATAGGTGAACTTTTCAAATTGCAAAATATCAAAATCCTGACTCAACTGATAACTGAGCTATAGAAGGCGGAAGGTGAGATGCAGGACCCTGTATATCAAACTTTACAAATGTGGAAATACCGAGGAAAATACTTGAATATCTATTTAGACAGGTACTACGCCACTGTTTTTCGCTGCCCAAGGGGGGTTCTTAGACGTAGTCAATCACCTCTTGGATAATGGAGCATCTGTGGATTCACTCAGTATTGTAAGTACTCAGAAGTAGGGATAGTTTCGAAATTTGGTTAAGAAAACTTTACTTAAATTCCATTTATTTGAATGAATACCTATAGTTGTCACCGGTAGAAAATGATTCCAAGTCACCCCATTAGAAGATTAGTTTCAGAAATGCACGATCAGCAAATATTTTTGAAAAACAACAATGTAGAATCAGCAAGAATTTCTGAAGAGCAGAAAGAATAAACTACCCCTTCGATAGGGTGGATTGGGATCATTATATCGGTGGCAGCTGGATATCCACATGGGATGTTTAGATATGCAATCCAAAGAACACATTATTTCGAGAAATAATTGGTCGATAGGATTTTTTTATGAACATCAGGAGTACACTATCCTTCTGATGCGGTGAATTCGTCAAGTATGAATTGAAAATTTGAATCGAAAATATAAGGTCAGCATTAGTCAGCAAGTTCAATTCCAAAATAATTATAATCTTCTTAAAACCCTCAATAACCACATCCTATGTATGATGACTACCAGAAGAACTACCGAAAAGGTGACAAATTGTCTAGCTATTGTCATCTACCAATATACCCTGTGATCATAATCACAGTAAATACAATTAATTTTACTACATATCGTCCTACTAAAAGTGGGACACACTGTATGTTTATTAATATTCACATTTTGATTACCCACCGTCTGTGGAACTATGGAAAGTCGCAATGATAATAATTTTGTTCATAAACATGTTATCACATAAATAGAAATTTATTCATATTTTTCTACGTAAGTACCTTCTGCAAATTTCATTATCTACTAATATATTATTGTCTCACTTATTTCACTTAGATTTTTCGTTATCGTCCAAATTTTCTCTAACTTTCTTCAGCTCATCTTTCAGTTTTTCCTTACGTTTTTCTTGTATTTTCGCTTTCAGTTCTTCCAGTTGTTCTGCCGTTTGTTTCCGAATGTACTGATTTTCGAAAGCGTCCTTTCTTTTCTTGAAAGCGTCGTGGGCATCATTGCAGAATCTTCTCAGTTCAATTTTTCTAGAAAGACGATGCAAAACGGAGAATTTCATAAAGAACGGAGTTTTTCGAGGTCTGGGAGAAAATCATTTAATTTTTTTTTGACGAATTATGATGTTTTGGGGCGTGACATATTTTTTTCTCGAGATGATCTTGTCAGGCAAAGTCAACTTTGGCAGGTACTTGAAATGTACAGTACCTATACGTAATAATCGACAATTAAAATACAAAGGATGTGTGTTAAAATTATACAGGGTGAGCCATGACTAACCATAGCCATAGCCCAATGGTCGATTGAGGGAGTCAAAGTGAGTTGATATGCAGGGCGAGTCATAACTATTGGGACAAGGCTTAGGGCGAATTGTTTGGACAAAAAATATGTCGATAGGACCAAATAATATGCCTCAATAAAATATTGCTGTGGCCCTTAGCCTATGTCCCAATAGTTATGACTCACCCTGTATATATGAAAAATATATTCTGCCTATTCGTATAACAGAAATACAGGGCATTATTTGAATTCGGGGCGAAACTTTGATGTACGGGGTATCCCAATTTGGGCACTTTTGCGGAGTATCTCCCTTATCAGTAAAGATAGAGCATTGCGATTTTCGCGACAGTGTGCTACTTTTTTATGAAATTAATAATGGCGCAAGCAGAATTGTGATAGCTCTTCCGGTTGTCGAGATACAGGGTGGAATTGAAAAATATCACTTTTCAGGCACCCTCCGTGTCTCAGTTATCTTTGAACTTATCGAAGAAGTTAAAACTTGTTTTCATAGAGTTTTTCTCGTAGAATCCAGTGGCGTAGTTATTTTTTTGCTAGCACCTTTTGTTTTTTAGTTATGGAGCAAACATATGTTTTTTTAAATGGAACACACTGTATATTATTTCATATATACATTGAGCATGAAGTGGGCTTTCCAAGAATATATAATTGTATACAATTATTTTCCATTTAAAAAAACATATGTTTGCTCCATAACTGAAAAACAAAAGGTGCTAGCAAAAAAATAACTACGCCACTGGATTCTACGAGAAAAACTCTATAAAAACAAGTTTTAACTTCTTCGATAAGTTCAAAGATAACTGAGACACGGAGGGGGCCTGAAAAGTGATATTTTTCAATTCCACCCTGTATCTCGACAACCGGAAGAGCTATCACAATTCTGCTTGCGCCATTATTAATTTCATTAAAAAGTAGCACACTGTCGCGAAGACCGCAATGCTCTATCTTTACTGATAAGGGAGATACCCCGCAAAAGTGCCCAAATTGGGATACCCTGTACGATATTTCAGGAACGTCTCGATATGTTATCGCCTGAAATTCACCATCAACTCACTTCTACTGATACACCACACGATGACCTACTATGGAGAAAAATTCCAGAGCCGAAGAAAACTCATTTCTTTTTAAATGACAAAATTGCGACTTTCTGAAACGTAATTTTCAAAAACTTTCATCAGAATCAGAAAGATCAGGAGAAACACTACAACTGTAGCTTTTCAATTTGTATGGCACACTTCGACCGGATTGGTGAAAAAATATCGAAATATCGAACAAAATACAGGACTGGACTTATTCTTTTAACGAGACCTTTCAAAACATGGGAATAAGTACCTAATTTTCGAGGAAAATTCCAGTACCTACCTCCTCTCCCTATGCTCCCTAGGTACGCACGATGCTCTTCGAACATTATAGGAATTTCCTTTCGTGCTCTCCAAGAGATAAAAAAATATAAAAAAAATATCGCTTAGGTACAATATTTTTCCGAATTAGATATACGTGCCAACTCATACTACATAGAGAAAATTTTGAGGTAATATTGAATATGATCTCATTGCATGTGAGAGGAGGTAGGTATTGAAATTTTTCTCGAAAATTAGTTACTTATTCCCATGGTTTGAAAGTCTCTTCAAGAGAATAAGTAAGTCCGGTCCTGGAATTTTTCATCGAATGGAGCCTCTTTCAAACTTTTATAATACACCGATATGCAAGAAATGGATTGAAATGAATGTGTGAACGATGTGACTACAACAGCCCGGCTTTGGAATTGTTTTCCATAGTAGACCATCGTGTGGTGGAATTTGAGGCGATAACATATCGTGATTTTGCTGAAATATCGTTCATCAAAGTTTCGCCCCGAATTCAAATAATGCCCTGTGTTCCTGTTATGAATAGGCAAAAAATTTTTTCACATATACATAATATCAACTCACCTTGACTTCCTCTATCTGCCATTAGGCTATGGCTGGTTAGTCATGACTCACCCTGTATATTATGTATTATTCTCATAAACTTTTTTTCTTAATTCTTCAAATCATGAATGCGGTCTCGCGCTCTGTATATTTATAATATCCATTAGATTGATTATTCTTGGTGACCATGCTGTCAAATTGTCATTTTTCTCTAACGGTACCTACATAATTCCATGAAACATTTTCATTTTATGGATCTGTAACATAACAAACATATTATTTTAACTGTTCAACACTTTTTTTTAGGACGGAGGCAGTCCGTTATTTGTTGCATGCCAATGCGGACACATGGACGTAGTCAAAGAATTGATAAAAAGGGGGGCCAAAGTCAACAATCACATGAAGGTAGGCAATTTTTTGTAGTTTCTCTTTCATATTCAACCGAAAAGTATGAAGGTGTTTGAACTGCAATGGGATTCAGGCATATAAACTTGAAAGTTAGATATAAACAACCCCTATTAGAAAAAGTGATATTGAAATATTTTTTTCCTTGTGTCACAGAGCGTAAAGAAGTTAAGAGTGAGAAAGTAATTTTCGTTTTTCCCTGTATGATGATTAAAAGAGGGCCTCGAACATCTCATTTTACGCTCTTCAAGAGTATGGACACACTAGTCATCTTGTTAAACAGCTGAACAAAAAAAATGAGACAGAAATATGTTTTATAAGAGATGGAATGTCATTTTTCTTTACCCCTTCATTGACATATTATTATTTGAAACCCTAACATTGGCGTAACACCAGGGGCTCATAATGATCATTGTGTAGTTATGTCAATATATCTCATGAATGTATTTCCATGAAATGAATATTGGAATTAAAAGCTTGAACGAACACTTGAAATATCTTTTCGTCTTTGGGCAACTCAAATGAATGTTTACCATCATTCTCAGAATTTTTGCAGTATACAGTGTGTGCGATTTCAACCCGCAACACCCTCCTAACCTGTCGACCGATTTTCGGAAACAAAAATTCTATGTTATAGTACTCAACGAACTCTATTCGAAAATGTGGACAAATCTAAAATATCCAGATTTTCAAGGCCTACTTTTATTTGTTGAAGGGGTCAAAATTCCCGGGGAACGAGGAGGCAGACAGACTAGCCAAGATCGGTTCAGGAACGACACCCATTGGACCAGAACCGATATTGGGAATACCCAATAGTACGGCTATGTCCTTCATGAAGGAAATGCTACAGAGGCAGTTCCTTGAAACATGGTGGGACACACCAGGAATGAGACAATCAAAGCTCCATATAAAGGAACCTTCAAAAAGGCTCACGAGAGAGATCCTGTCACTTAATAGAAGGGATCTCAAGATGGTAGTTGGGCTCTTAACTGGGCACAACCACCTCAACAGGCACCTAGAACTCATAGGGATCAAAGATGATCCCATCTGCAGATGGTGCTTGGAGGATGATGAAACATCATCACACATACTCACTGAATGCCCCGCGCTGGTGCATCAGGAAAGCTGCCTTTGGGAGCATTGTACTGCGCCCAAAGGATGTGAAAGTGACTCAGCTGAGGAAGCTGCTGAATTTCGTCAAAGAAATCGGCATGCCCAATTGATTCACAGGACAAGTGGGCGCACAATGGGCCCGACTGAAGAGGCCTGAGTGCAGGGGTCTACGCACCCGCCCACCTGTGCAGAGAAGAAGAAGAAGAAGAAGGGGTCAAAATTTCGGAAACGAATTCAAAAATCGAAAATATCAAAATTGTCCACTGAATTAACTAACACCCTATATTAGATATTGCGTTCAAATTTTGTGTGGGGGTATTTCAGCTATGCCTGAATCGAAAAGGCTAGTCACTGTTCCGAAAAATAAAATGCCTGATGATTGTCGTTTTTGAAATTTTGACCCCTTCAACAAACAAAAGTATGCCTTGAAAATCTGAATATTTCAGATTTGCCCACATTTTCGGATAGAGTTCATTGATAACTAAATTATAGAATCGGTATACAGGTTCCAAATTATAGGAGGGTGTTGCGTGTTGAAATCACACACAGTGTATATGTTACCGAACAAGAAATATTCGAAAACATTTTCGAACGAACGAACGAACGAACAGACAAACAAACAACCAAATAAAACAACGAACGAACGAACGAACAAACAAAGAAACAAACAAACAAACAAATATTTCCTTTTCATAATATTAGTATAGATTACAGCCGTAGAAAAAGTATAGCGCATAACTCGCACAGAATGCTAATTGGTCACTCGTATGATTCGCAGCATTCGCCTACGGCTCATGCTGCAAACGTCAATCTCGTGGGAAATGACTATCATTCCGTGCTTGTTAAATAATATACTATTTTTCAGGACAAGGCCTCCCCGCTGTTCATAGCCGCCCAGAACGGCCACCACAAGGTGCTGGTGCACTTGTTGGCGCAGGGCGCAGAGCCGGACTCGCGCAGGACGGACGGGGCCACCCCTGTGTGGATCGCCGCCCAGATGGGTCACGATCACGTGGTGGGGCAGCTCCTGCGGGCGGGAGCGTATGTGGACGCGACGAGAAACGTAAGAGTTCCGATTTTCTGAATTTCGTCGACCTCAGTGATGTTCCTGGGTTATAATTGATCCCGTACTAGAATTGAACTGATTTTCGTACTTGATTTGAGTTTAAGGTACTAGATATGATTAGTGGTAATGCCAGATTTCAAAATCAGGCGGGCTATGCCTTTAGTAACAAGTTGGTAAGATAAATATCTACCAAAAAATTGTTTACTTTGTAGGTAAATGCTAAAATTTTTGAATATACAGAATACTTCCCGATTTGTATTTGAACACTTAAAAAAAATAATTCCCATCCAAACAAATAATAAACAACTAAGTCAACAGGTCATATCCATTGTCCAAGTCATTTGTCATTAATTCTTCTTCTTCTTCACCTGACGCGGTGATTTCTGTTCTTCTTGTTATATATCTGTGAAATGTCTTCTCAGATCTCTGGTCTTCTTATTCATTAATATACCGATAAATTTATTCGAACTTCATGCTCAAACTCTGAAATATTCATAAAGAAAGGTTATTTCACGAAAATTGTTTTGTTTATGGAGTTTTTCACATGCACTGTGGATTTCCATCACGTAACGGCCGAGTCATTTCAGAATGGGCTTATATCACAAAAAAAATCTATTCCATAATTCGGTAGAACTCACCCAAACTAGCTCACCACCGCAAACCGTTTCTTGCTGTGAGCTCCCTACGTTTTATAAAATAATATTGAAATCCCCGATTTTTCGGACCTGGCGATGATGTGACGTCAAAACCCTAATACTGAAACAAGACTTTTCCAGACAGAGATGAATGATACATGATTTCTGACAGAGTGAATTAGCGCGAGATCACATTTGAAAGAATTAATATATCAGTTGCCTCAGTCTCCGTCGGGCGTTTGGTATTTTCTTTTAACTATGGCGAGATGAGGTTTCTACGTCATAAGAGGGTCCGTTTTCAGAAGGTACTATTATTTATGTCCAAAAATAAAACATTTCAGTTAATTTTTCGATCGAATTTTGTCGTCAATCAATCTTTATGTATAAAAGGATCATTATAAACATGGTTTGAGTTAAAAGTTCTACTGAGGTGTAAACGCCCATTGATGTTGTTATAACTTTGTTGCCAACAGAATTTTCTTCGCGATTAACCTAATTGAAGGATGGTGAATCTAATGGTCGAGTCTAATTTTCTTGAAAAATCGCTAATGCTATTTCCTGATATGCCCTGACAATAATTGGAATTACATTTTGTAGATTTGTTTAATAAACCATGATTTTGATACTCTTTTCGACTTTTCGCTGAAACAAAAAAAATAATCGGATGTGTATGATGACTTTTTTCAATTATAATATGTTCATTCGATCTTACTGAGAGAGGTCACCTTGTTTCACTGATATTTTCATGATGGAAGAAAATAACAAAAATTTAGAGGAAGGTGTATATCAGTGTTCTTTTTTGTAGGATGGAGCAACTCCACTTTTCAAAGCAGCACATAAAGGTCATTCAGCGGTTGTGGGCGAATTGTTGAAATACAAACCTTCTTTAGATATATTACCAGTAAGTATTTCAGGGTAAAATGTGAATCTGTATCTCTCATTCAAAATATATTTACATAGGATTTCTGCAAATGAACATTTATGACTGAAAGGGAATACTAATGTGTACAAAAATGCATGTTTGTTCCCTGTATATGAGTTGATCGATTTAATCTATGTATAAGCCAAAGTATGTTAATTTCTCAACAATCAAAGTCTTTGTCTTCACGAGCCTTTCTAGGTCAAGAATGCCGAGGACTCTGTATACGAGTGAAACACATTCGTATATTTTAATTCTCAAGGTTCTAGCGAGTTCCACAGTGTCAATTTCAGTAATTATATAGCAAAATAATGTACACAATATGCATGTTTTCCATTGAAAATTTCACGCTTAACATTTTCGACCAATTTTGTATCGTTACCATAGCAACTAAACAAATTTCCGGAAATTTTGTCCTCGTCCTTGGGGGAAGGTTCATGAAATTATACTGGACATTTTTTGACATTTATCATATATCAATTCTTCATAAGTTGATGAGTTCCTTGCATAAAAATATATCTATCAACTTTAGTTGAACGACTGTGAATTTTCTATTATTTCATTTAGTCGGTTAATTATATTTTATTCAACTGAATAATATTACGTGGGCAAATTTCATTGATACTAAATAGTACTTCGAGTTTTTTTCGGAAACGGAGCAATTTCGGACTGAGGTAAGTCGCTTTAAATCGGCTTATTTTGACCTCAGGAATATGTGCTGAGATTTTATACATACCTTTCAGGGCCAACTTTAATGAAACGAATTTGTAAAAAACTGAGGAATCAAGTTACTATCGACTTATTTTTAATTATTTTGTTCAACTAAAGTGAGTTAATTGTGTTTCATTTACCATAAAAATGTTATGGATTTGAATTTCATTACTACTACATATACTGCTTCGACTTCAAGTTAGTCAATAATATTGGTTTGAACTTCCACCAGCTGCCTTGTCAATATTTTGCTCAACTAAAGTCGGTATTTTGTATTATTTTCATCGTAATCTTATACTAGTATTTTTTCAATAACAAGAACGGTGTGAAATTTTCTTACCGAATACAACTCTAACTTAAATTTAAAAAGGGGAATGTTATCTCGAACACGAATATTCAGATAATTCTCCCTCGTCTTCGACTCGGGAAAAATTTCTGGTGAAATTGAAGCTCTCGTGGTATTATAAGTGACAATAAACGGAAGCAAGCATTTGAAACCATGACAACCAGAATTGGGAACGAAACTCTGATGGCGTTTTTGTCAATCTTTCTGAATCTTGCCTTGTCAAAATAGTTTATTATCTTTGGAAATGTCGCGATTTCAAGTGGAGAAATTAAAAATCTTTCAAGAATAATATATGATTTACGCATTCCTTAATTGTCTTACTGAACTACACTCAAGCATTTTATATTTATATATATATATATTCCTCCTTCGATATCATCCCGCAAGTCATTTGGACCTTATCCTAATAAACCGATTCATAATATGTACTTTATTCTATTAGTATCTATTAGCTGTATTTTGTTTCATTATCTTATAGGTCAGACATCTTTTTTTTAATTGTATGATTTTTGTTTTATCTTCTGATGTAGATGAATAATCAATGTATATGATTTTCTCACTGTCATGCTACCTCGAAATGTGCTAGCTATGTTGTAGTACGATATTTAGATGTCCCACAGAAATTGAATCATATTTTAGTTCACTCTGACTTGTAAACCTATATGTTGCCGTTTTCCCAGGTTGAATGGAAGAGCAGTTGCCTTTCTCCTTGGAAAGAGGTGACTGAATTCCGCCTTTTCTTTATTGAATAAAGACATTATTATTATTATTATTATAAGTCGAAGTGAACTTGACATTTATAATTTGAGTTTTGTTGCCTTTAGGAAATTCAACTCAATAAACTGCCAGAAAAAATTACTCGTCTTACGGACTCGTAATTTTTTCGAAGGCAATTTTTTTCGGTCAATTTCTTGTTTCTTATTGAAATGTCAAGTGTACTTCGACAAAAGAAGCTCTCGTGTGAAAAATTTCCGTGAAATGTAATCTAGATTCTGACCTTACAAGGTGTTCCTAAAATCAAGTGACGAAATGCTCTTCAAGATGAACCAATGAATCTCTTGATTTGACGTTTGACGTTTCGTCTTTGAGCTGCCATCATTAACTTTGTTTTTTTGAATACAGACCTGGATTTTTCATTATGGATTTCAAGATCTTTTGATCTCCAAAAATCAACGCAGTGTATCACACTTATTCGAAAAATTCGTATTTACCCCTTTTTCCATAAGAACTCATGTGATTCCAGGAGATTGAAATTTCTCAAAATTCGTGATAAAAAAATCCAAAGCCGTATTTGAAAAGACAAAGTTGATGATGGCAGCTCAAAGACGATATGTCGGTTTGAAATCTGATAACACCATCTTGTAGAACAGAAAAATAGCAATGAGAATGTGTAATTTGTTTTTTCTGCAACCGACACAAAAGTCGTCCATTTTGATACCAAAATTAGCTCTTAAATTGACGTTTCTATTACTGACACAAAAATAGGTATGTTGCTAGGCAACATATTTAGTTCCTAGGAGCTAAAGTTGAATTTTAGTTCCTATATATAGGAGCTAAACTAAAAAGGATGTACTGGACGTCATCGAGAATGAACAACATTGTGACGGTTGGTTATTTGGGTTGAGACGCATACCTGATTTGTTTCCGATTTCAGCAGATTTGGCATTTCATACCCATGCTGGAGATATAAATACACCTTATTATAATAGTTTGGTATTGGAATGATAAACATCTCAGTTAAGTATTTTTGTTTTGATCAGGGAAGCCTTCAAGATTCAAATACTTGCTTGATCTGTATTTCATTCGTTATTCTCGGGAAGGATAACTTGTTTTTGAATAATCACGGCAAGCAATCGGTTTTTTGTCTCAAACAACGATGTTGTTTAGCTTCATTTGATTATCAAGTCAAACACAGTGTAGTATGGAGAGGAATAAATAATCACTATTATCATTGTTGATATGCTCACTAACCTAACATTTTCCACGTCTTGTTCCTATAGCTGGCACTGGCGCGGTATTTGCCATATTAGAGCACCTGGTCCATACACAAATATGTGACTCTGTGGTTGTATTTATATTGAAACTACAATTCGAACATCCTAGAAAACCTAACCTGCTGTTAATGCAGGTAGAATATTCTCACTATACATGGATTATTTGTCAATATTTGTTGCATTGCATACATATCGCATGGCATTGGTGGTTACTTCACATGTTCATTTGAGTTCATTATTTCGGTTGCAGAAAAAATAGCATGTTTCATTCGGATCAAAAGTGACTTTGTTCGACTCGCAAATTTTGCTTTCGCTCGGCTTCGCTAAACGCTCCGCCTCGCAAATGCAAAATTCGCTTGTCAAACAAAGTGTCACTTTTGATCCTAATAAAACAATCTACCTACTATTGTTACATCTTTTCAAATAGAGTAATAGAAAATTAAAAATGAAACCGCGAATATACACAGTTCTTCTCAAAAATCTTTGGAAGTATTCGGAATTTTTCAAATTTCAAAACGGCATTGGGCTAGTGAGGGGCTAGTGGACTGTTTTTTTTTCTTCATTTTTCGAGTCAGTAATTTTTAATGAAATTGAATAGATAGAATTTAAATGGTATGAAAAATCGCTTGAGGTCTTTGTGTCTCTAACAACACAGTGTATGTAATTGATGAATGTGAAAACTGCTTCAACACCAGCGTATATATTTTATCGACTCGATTTTTTTCAGAATGGAGAGAGCCCTTTGCACGCTGCAGCTTTCTCCGGCAGTCTCTCGGTTTGCAAGCAGCTGATAGGGGCGGGAGCGAACCCTAACCTCAAAAACCAAGAGGGGCACACCCCCGCTGAAATAGCGCAAAGATTAGGGCACGCCACTGTCCTAGAATATTTGAGGAATTGTGCCAATCGCGACAAAAAATGAAGAAAATCATAGCGTCAAAACTATGAAAGCGTTGAAAATATCAGACGTGAGAAAAAATGCAGTGGAAACATTGCACCACTAGCGATTTGACTTTTTTTACAGAATGTAGATATCTTCCGGAAGCTGTTATTGGTATCAGATTGTGATATTTTATCGACTTCAAGGACAGCTACAATAACGAGAGAAAGTCAACAGAAACAAATTTACAAGGGGTTGTATCAAAAATTGAAAAAAAAAACGGTTTCAATTGTTGAAAAGCACAAAATCATAGATAGGCCACTGTCATGTATTTTATTTTTATTCAGACTTCATTGTTCTTCGAATACAAATTTTGTTCTCTGAATTCAGTCTTTTCGCTTCAAATTCAAACTTTTTTCTTTATAAATTCAGACTTTTTTCTTTATATTCAGACTTTGCTCCCTTCAAACTCAGATTTTTTCCTCTGAATTCAGACTTATTCATCGAATTCAGACTTTTTTCTTTGAATTCTCAGACTGTGTTTTTCTGATTTCGAACTTTTTCAACACAAATTCACATTCTACATTAACAAGTACGTAAAACTCATTTGACACATTTTTCTCGATTCGTTATAGATGGCGCTGTAATTCGTATATGTATAGCAAAATCTATAAAATATCACATTTGATACCGAAAACCGCAAGAAAATCAATCATTCTCTTAGGAAAATACGACAGGTTGTTGAAAAAGGGTCAATAATCGTTTGTCACTCATTGTTTCGGTACTATAGCCATCATCAGACACAAAATAGACAGTGTGCTAACTTGAGCCAAGTGCAGTTTTAATTTTTCTCTTGATCTTTGACCAAATTATTTCTTCGCTCTTTTGGGCGCTTTGTCGATTTGAATTGATGACCAGTTGATTTTGGCATAAGTTATTGTGTTTTATGTGATGGCCGCGTAGTATCGAAACTATAGTAACACATGCGTTTATCAATAATTATGATTTTGTGGTCGTCAAAACTTCGTGTTTGTTTTTTCTCGATTTTTCGATTTAGAAATGAAACTTGGTGATAAACATTTTGAGATGTTCTTGATAGTCTGATGAAAAAGTGGGTTTTTGAAAAGTAATAGGTAGATTTAAAAAAATATTTTCTCTTTCACAGCGTGTCTTGAAATTAGATGGTAATATTTCACCAGCAAATTATTCTAATAGTTTAAAATTATTGAAATTGAGAGTATTTTCCAATAATCAATGAAAATATCGAAACATCACACTGTGACTCAAGAATGAAAAATTTTAGCACTCAATAATTGTATGAAACTTCCACCCATTTTTTGACTTATTAGATCATGCGCTATGGTAAAATATTGTCCTCTTATTTTGGGACACCTATGCTTTCATTGTAATATGACAGTATTTTCGTATACTTAGCAACACTGAGAGTTGAACTTTTATAGACTGGTAAAAGACTTGGGATACCTGTGCCTTCCGAAATTTTGAAAAAAAATTCAAATTGGTCTTCATGAATAGTTTCCTTTATTTGTTGTTGAATCAGCTAGAAAATGTAGCTAGAATTATCGTCAATTCTTATTGTTATATCTCAAATATTTCTCGAAAGTAAGTACCAAAATAAGTATTGTGTGTGACAAAAATTATTATTCATCATGATATTTTAATTGATATTATACATATTTATATGTGTGTATGTACAAATTACATATTAGAATATTTTCTGTTCGTGTTGAATTGGGTTAGATATTTATTCGGAATGTTTGTTATTTATTAATTTATATTGAACAATGTGTTTCATGTTATTCTCTGAAAAATAAAGAATCTCTTGTTAAAATTTTTCTCAACTTCAATTTTTGTGATACATAATCAAAATTATAATTTTTGCAATTTTTTATACTTATTGAAAGGATTTTTTCTCCTGAATTTGCTCTTGGTATATTGGAAATAATGTCGTCACAAAAATCAATTAAGCACTTCAACAGTTTTTGAATAATATATGAAGTATGGATTCGATACCGCAGATTATGACAACATGTAAATGGGGTTTGAAGTTTTCCTGTTTGAAAAAATATGGCGAAGAACAATAAAATAAACCAAAAAAAGAACAGTTTCGAAATGAAATGTGAGTAATAGCTAACCAATAAATAATCATTGGCACCTTATTATCATGTTTGGATAGGAAAAGGGATTTGTAGTATAAAAATCGTCTCTCCTATTCTAGGAAAATATATAAAGATCCTTTTTATCTATTTGGATAAGATTCCTATAAAATTCTCAATTTACACATCTTTTGCTAATACAGTAGCTTCTGCATCATTCAGTAAAGTATGAACAATATCAACATTGAAATTGCAGTTCAGTTATTTTTGAACCAATTTCGTAATTTGAAAAATCGTTTCAGACTACACACTATAAAAAAACAATTTCGAAAGCAATGAATTGTTCAGATCTAATTTCCAATGATTCCAAATATCAAGTTTCATTCGTTCATATTCTACAGGTGAAATCTCGAAATTTTCATCAAACTGATTTTTTTTTTAGTATATACAGAGAAGTGCACAAAAAAAGGCCAGGACTGTAACTTTTGAATTATTCGAGATAGGGTTTTGAAAATTGGTGGGTAGCAAGTATACCAAATTGCTCATTATAATTGATGAAACATGGGACACCCTGTATTGTATTCCATAATCGGTTAAGGATTATCATGACGAATGCAACGATACCGTGTTTGATAGGATTATTTTAAACGATTACAAAGATATTTGCGTTCGAAGTTTCCATATGATCAATGGATGTGACTTCGCAATATCAAAACTTCTTTCTCTGTCACACTCATTGAGCATATGGAAACATAGAACGCGAATATCTGCGTAATCGTTTGAAATAACCCTGTATTAAACCCGGTATCGATGAATTCGTTATGACAATTCCTAACCGATTATGGAATACATTACAAGGTGTACATTTAAAATTCAAAAGTTGGGGTCGTTTTCAGTAAAACCGGAAGTGATGAAACAAAATACTAGCTGCTCACCAATTTTCAAAACCCTATATATCTCGAATAATTCAAAAGTTACAGTCCTGGCCGTTTTTTGTGCACTTCTCTATATACCGGGTGAGTCATTGAAATGGGAAAGTGAGATAACGCCTTTGCTGTTTGAGATAGATGAACAAAAATTGTTGTGATGATCTAGGCTCATGAGCAGCACATTTCCAAAATATTTCGCTTTATACAGGGTGACTTAAAATGCGTGACGTATCAGATCGAGTTATACTTTTTTTATGGGACACCCTGTATTTCATTGCATTTTCGGATTCTCCTTTGTGAGCTGATTTCATCAATGCATCACACTTGGGTCTAGCAAGAATGATTACAGAGATATAGGGTGTGCAAAATCGAGATATTTCAACTATAGGATTTTTTTGGGTCGAAACTATTCATTATTGGTCAAAACGGCATACATGTCCCTATCTTAACTTTTGATTTACTATCTACTGATATTTAATTTGAACGAATACATCAGGGTGGTTCATAATTCTGAATTTTGAACTACCCTCTGATGTATTCGTCCAAATTAAATATCAGTAGATAGTAAATCAAAAGTTAAGATAGGGACATGTATGCCGTTTTGACCAATAATGAATAGTTTCGACCCAAAAAAATCCTAAAGTTGAAATATCTCGATTTTGCACACCCTATATCTCTGTAATTATTCTTGCTAGACCCAAGTGTGATGCATTGATGAAATCAGCTCACAAAGGAGAATCCGAAAATGTAATAAAATACAGGGTGTCCAATAATAAAAAGTATAACTTTCATGCGCCACGCATATTTGAGTCACCCTTTACACGCAAAGTAATTCAGGAATAAGCTGCTCATGAGCCTCGACCATCACAAAAATTTTTGTTCATCTATGTCAAACAGCTAAGTCGTCGTTATCTCACTTTCCCTTTTCATTGACTCACCCTGTATATGGTCATAGTGTGTTTTGGATTTGTTTACTGCTCTTTTGAAAAACTCATAATTATTATGTGTTTGGTATGGTTAAAACGTTCTACCTGCTGTCTGACCAATATACTTTTTTCTGGCGTTATTTATGTTGAATAATGTCTAAATTGAAGCCAATTTTTCCTAACTATATACGATTACCTGAACTTCCTCGATTTGTGATATTCTTATATTATATATTCTTTTGAAGGGTATAGGTACAGGTACCCCAAAGTAAATGACGGGCGAATGCCTGCTAAATGTGTGACATAATCGGTGGAACTCATGTAGAATTGGTCATTATCTCCACCGACATATATTTTATCATCAAAATCAGGGAAAATATTGTACGTAACTATAGTTACCTATATAACGTAATACGTATTGTAAGAAGAATATTACGCACGAATGGAAAAGTTACGCACGAGCGGCGAGTGCGTAATTCCATGAGTGCGTAATTGCTTTACAACACGCATTACGTACTATACTTTACCTACTGCCATATAGTACATCAGAAAAGTTTGGACAAACAGTCTGAATTATAATTCTTGACAGTTATGTCATCCGCTGTTGACGGCGGAATAAACGAAAACTGTGCGATGTGCTTACTGTGCGTAAAGAGCTACTTACTGAGGCTGTATCTCGTGTGTTCTTGCCTGCTTTCGTATATTTTGTGACTGTTTTTTTATCACACAAAATGACGCGCTTTCCTAAGTGGTCACATGAATATCTATTTCACACATCCCCTTATAGGACATCGTTATTCATATACATATAATCCTCATGCTGTAAGTTCATCATAATTCATAATTTAAATTTTTAATGATAACAACAATTTAGTTAAAAAATTGTTGTAGGTACCTACAAACATGCGATAAACGTATATATATGGTCCATATGGAGCAACCTGTACATCACTTCTCTCAATCACTTCAATAAATACTTACATATTTTGCGTTCAAATTCCGCCTCTGATTGTAATAGATTCTAATTTCATATGGAATTAAGGATGTGGTACAGGTAATACAATGGTAATACA